TATGTCCGGCCTCTCCTTGAGTACTGCTCCCATTTGGTCGCCTTGTAAACGATCACAAATTGATGAAATTGAAAGAGTGCAAAAGAGCTTCACATATAGGTGCTTTTATCGGAAAGGTATCACCACACTATCTTATGAACGACGTCTCCAAAAACTTGACGCGGAGTCGCTGGAGTTCCGGCGAAAGCTGCATGATCTTGGACTGCTGTATAAGTTAACAACTGGGCAAATAAGTGTTAAATTGGATGATCTTTTTGAAATGTCTTCCACTATAGGTTTAGCAAGGGGTCACCCCTACCGTGTGCGCCCGTATAAGGCCAAAACGTCGTCCTTCCAAGGTTCGTTTCTTGTAAGAGTCGTTAGTCTGTGGAACAGTTTAGACTGTGAATGTTTCAGGTGGAAGCGAGCTTCGTCCTTCCAGGAACACACAAGGCCCATTATTAAGCGTAGTCCAGATTACATGACCTCGCTTTCTGTAAACTTGAATATTCCTTTTTGAATGTACGAATAAGGCTGGCATTGTCTACTTGTAATCTCGCTTGAGCCTTGAAACAAAGTATCAAGATATAGCTTATCATTTTAATGTTCAAGTTAGATTTGGAATTTTTTTATAAACATTTTTAGAAGCATTAAATCCATATTTTTATACTCTTCTTCTCCTTTACCGGCTGCCCATACTCCCGCCAAAATCGCCACAGGAAACTTGCCGGTCCTCTTTTATTAAGCGCGAGGGCTGTCTTTCATGTCTAATTTGCAGTTGAAACAATGCCTTTATAAAAAAATCGAGGCGCTTTCGAACGCTAATAAAACTGCCCAATGTAACTGTTTAGGTCAAACGATGAATCATCAATTATCCTTCTCGTGCACTAGATAGCCTGACTCAAAATTTTTTATGCGAGTTGTGTTCATTAAGCCACTTGGGCAGCATAGTTAATCAGTTGTAAAGGCACATGACTGTCATGATATTTCCATCTAGTACGGCGTCGCATCCATACTTGTTGGCGTCGGAGAGACCCCTTACC